GGAGAAGTGACTGCCACCAAGCTGTGACATCCAAACCTTCTGGAACCTCAATATACCACATCATTCCAGAAGTCAGCCCACAGGGGTGAATCACCCTCTCATGCTCAAAATTAGGGGTACGAGATGATGGTTCTTTTAAAAAGCAAGTTATTATACAAACAACAAAATCAAAGATCTAAAAACACATGTTAAAGAAAAATATCAATAGTGAGAATAAAGACAACTGGAAAACTGTAAGTAGTTATCAATACTTCCTAGAAATCTAAATATTTTATAAAAACATCAAATTAATTTGAGAACGCGTTTTTTAAAATAGTCCTTTACTATATATGTGAGCAAGAAGGAATCCTGGTTAAGCTCACAAGCTCCAGGTATGAATTCTTGCCCCTCATCCTAGCAATGTAACCATGGGCATTTATTTAAACATTATATGCCTCAGGTTCCCGAACTGAAAATGGCAAAATATAAAACAGGGTGATAGAAGTGCTCTTGATACTAAAGCACTAAATCAAAATTAACTATTATTACTTCAACTATTAAGGTGTGTCACCCTTATTATTTCACTGGAAATAGGAGTCTGCTATCATACAGCAGACTGTCGATACATATTTCTGAGTGTATAAATATGTAAATATGTGAATGAATGTCATAGGTTAGGCTCTCACATGAAATACAATATATGAATACTGATGCTGCCTGTTCCTTTGAGAGAATGTGATTATCAGTGTTTCCCAAAAAATATTTTAAAATGTCACTTCAGTGCAAAAGTTATGAAAAAAATTACAAAGTGCAGTTAAAAATACGTAACAAACAGGGCTTTTAAAATTGTTGCTCCAGTGTTATTTATAATACAGAATGAAAATAAACTGAACACGGGTTTATTAAATGTCTAAGTTCCAGGGAATCAGCAGAGTTAAGTTTTAAATGCTAAGCTCCAGGAGGCCAGCACATTTTCCTTTTTTTTTTTTTTTAAATCTGTTTTGCCAATACCTAATAAAAAAAAATCTAACACATATTAGACCCTGATGCTGGCAGGAAAATGAAAACCCCAAAATCCTTTTTCTCAATATTACTTCTAAATGGAATGTTCACATTTGAATTCATCTTCTAGAGCCTTTGCTACTTGAAAATAAAAATGTCAACTCCTACTTAGGTTATGTAGGGCCTGAGCTTGGAGCTACTTTTCCCCAGGTGAGAAACAGAAAATAACGCAGTGTCTTCAAATGTGAAGGCGGTGATTGTGTGTGTGTGTGTGTGTGTGTGCGCGCACGCACCCCGGTGTAGGGTGTGCATGGGTGGTAATAATGCACCTATCACATGAGAATCTCTCAGAAATATCTGACTTAAACATTTTCAGAAGGAAAGCATTAGGCTGGTAGAAGTAATAACTGATGTTTACTTATGACACTTTCAACAAAATGAATCTATCCTTGTATTGGAAAAAAAAAAAATATATATATATATATATAGATATAGATATATATATATATATCATCTCCAGTATTTAAGTTCCATTTCTAAAACTTCAGGGAAAACTAAAATCAAAATGAAAGGCAAAATGTTTATTTTTTCAACTCCCGAATCTACAATCTCAAAGTTCTCATGACCACAGGTTTTCTGCTCCCCGAGTCAGACTTCATTCTCTGCATTACTTGGAGTTCAGAATTCAACATCCAACTTATCTAACCACATTCCACTGAAAAAAAAGCAAGAGTAACAATACAACGCCCAACTTCAGATCTGTAACAAGCGAGGCATTTCTTATGTCTTAGAACATTTTACAAAAATAAACAAACATGTGGGACCAAAACTTAATAAAGGGGTGTCAATCTATTTGGGCAGATTTATGATAGGAAAGCAGTACTGCAAATAAAGAAAGCTATGAGTTATAAATGAAACCACATGCACACTTATGGAACCTCTGCAGCTGGAGAAAACCTTGCTAATATTATCAAAGAAAATATTACTGCACCAAAACGTTAAGTATGCATTTTAAAATCAGCACTTACTTTAAAATGTATCATTGGGAAAGGACTTTTGGGTCAGTCAGTAACCAGCATTTTGACTTTAATCTCTGGGGACACTGGCTCCTCTATCTGTCCAAGGAGAAGTCTGGGAAAGTAACACGTCCTAATTCTATGATTCCAAGTCCCAAATGGACTTCTGCTTTAGCAAGATTGAGACAGTCCTCCTAAGAGAATCGGAGGCAGGGCTTATCAGACACCCGGAGGCAAATTCCTGCTGGCTCCCCTTCCCATTCCTTCCTGGCCTCTGCTCTGTAAAGGGCGTCTATGGCCCACAGGGTAGACATCTGCTAAACATAGTATTAGGGGATCCTGTAGCCCTAAGTGGCTACAAGGTTATTTTATCATATTAAACAAAACAACTCTTACTGTACAGAAAAAACATGAACACTGAATTGTATGCTGAAAGTTCTTAAGTGAATGAATCAAATCTCCACAGGGGGTCAAAAGGTCTTAATACAGGATTTCTTGGTGTTGGGTCCCGTTATATACAAGACCGAGGCAATATTTATTTGCTAGGCTTTTTTTTTTTTTTTTTTTTTTTTTTTTTTTTTTACCATAGCATCTTCATCACCAAATCTTAGCCACATGAGAAAGAAAAAGTCAGTTTTGCCAAACTCAGCATATATTTTTGGCTTAGTCCTTAGAGAGCCTGAATTTCTCGTCTTTAATAACTTATGACAGCAAATAAAATAGAAGAAAAATGGAAAATAGTTCAGTATTAAAACATTCTGAATTGAGTATCAGATTCATGGAGTTTATTTTACAGAAAGGATAGAAGATGATGTAACAGAATATAAAATAAGTCCCTCATTTAGACAACAGACTGCACTTTCTTCACAGTATTAAATATTAAATTAATTTCAAATATTTGCTGCCACTGCTCAACTATGCATTTTTTCAAAAGATTTCTTTAAAGAAAAGATGACTGTAATTGCAACTGATGTTGAAGATGCAGCCTAGTTTCACCACTGAATGATTACTGCAAAGTCTACACACACACACACACACACACACACACACACGTGTGCGCGCGCACGCACGATCTTCTAAAGGCCTCTCTATAGGAATTCACCAATATATGACTCCAAAACCAAGTCCCGAATTTCATTTTGTCATTCGGTTTAATGTTATAACTGCCTGTATTCAATTCATTTCCCATGATAACATTAAGTAAATTCACAATTATATTTATAAGCTACAGTGAGGTGGAGTTTACTGGCCGAACGTTGATGTCATTTAATAATGAGTTCTCACTGCCTATATTGATAAATACTGTACTTGCATCCTCCTCCTCCGGTTCACAATACATGTGTTAAATCTTTGCCTGAATTTACTTCCAGAATCAATGGGACACTTAGTAACATGAAGATACTTGAGGTTCCTATTCTGGGTGTTGCTACATGTATTACCTCTGAATTAAAAAAAAAAAAAAAATGAAGTTTATTTCGAGGACATTTCCAATTTCCAAATGCTAGTAACCAAGTGGCACGTTATCTGGAGTTGTCTGGAAAACCCGAAGTCCAGAGGTTAAGAGTCACCTGCTTCATTCTATCATCCTATAGATTTCCGTGTTTCATTAATTTAAATTATTTTGGAGGGGTATAAAGTCATATCCTTTCTACTCCACGGGTGAAAGAGGAAGGATAGAAGGAAATGAGCTTGAGTTGCTCTGAATTTCAAGAAACTAACATTTAACAACACAGATAATATTTTACCTGTGGCTAGAGCTCACCTTAAAAGAACATAGCAAGTCATCATTAACTATCAACTTAATGCATTTGCTTTGCTCCTGTAACTGCTAATAAATATCAAAGGAACACTGATGGGCTATATTGCAGCAAACCTGCAATGCATGGAGGTCCCACGAAAAGGTAGCACAGAAGCCCACAAGCTTCCTTCCAAAGGTGCCCTGTATCTTCATGAGCATCACATTAGAAACCCATTTTAAGACTCCCTCAACTGCAGAAATGTTTGTAGCAGAATCGTATAGTTCAAGTTCACATGACTGACAGACTGACATTCAGAAGTACATTTTAAACTTGAACTAAAAGAAAACCTTAAACATCTAGTTCCATCAGCACGTTAATTATGCTATGTCACAGAATGACCTAGCGCTGCATTTGGACACTGAAGGCTGGCTTTATATCACATTTATGTAGTGACCGCATAGGCAGCCCATGAAGAGCAGGTTCATAGCACCTTTGCTTTTTTTTTTCAAATCTGAAATTAGCTGAGCACTATCCAACACGATGTTTGGTTTTTACATTTGAAAACAGGGGTGGTCTCTCTCTCTACAGTTTTAGTAACTCTCCATCAAAATTCGTTCTAAAAAAATCAAGCACAATACAAATAGATCTTTGTCTTATTCCAAAAATTCCTGGTGGTATGACAGGCATCTCAGAGGGGGGGGGAAAAAGGTACAACAATGCCCCAAACTAGTGAGAAACTCCTAACGAACTATAACTACTCAACCTTTAGTTACAGGAGATTTCTATTCTTACTTTTATAATTATTACTACAAATGCTCTTTGTAGTTTTTTTATTTTTATAATGAGCTAAGTATTAGACAACTGAACTCTTATTTAATTCAGGCAGCATGATGAAGTTTTCCATGTTAACACTTACAAAGCCATTCACTGCAGGCTCCTGGAAGTGTTACTGCCTTTACTCTTCCCTACATCAGAGCACTAGGGAGAATGGAGCTTCCATGCTCAGAAGAGGAATGGGAAAGCAAGCCAGCAGAGTCTGCTGAGCCGTTTTTCCTTCGCTCTTTTCCCAAGGGAGAAAAAGTGTAAAGGCTCTGTTCAGAATGAATCAGGCGTATTTTTAAAAGTCACCAGTGGTCAAGCCACTTTGCATTTCTGGCAGATTCTCGCTTCCGATACCGGTTGCTTAAGACTACGGAGCCCCATGGAACCTCACATCAGGGCTGCCCGGGATGTCTTATTATTTATTCCACGCTCTGCTCAGTACCTGTGAAAGGGGGCACTCCTTGGCCAGCGAACTCTGATTCATATCTTTCAGGAGGTCCTTCAGAGCATTCCTCACTGTGGTGTGCGACCATTGTTCAGGAGGCAAGTCTTCGAGTTTGGGGCAACTATGTGAGACAGAGATTAGAAAGGGGATTATTACAAGATTGCATCCCGCTGCAAAACATTCCTTTAAGACAGACAGATTTCATTTTGCGCATCAAACAGATGCATCTGGAGATTGCTCTCGGTCTCCTGATTGTTCCGATTAGTTAATTACTTTATACAACACATCTGCTGTATCGATGCATGAATTATACATCAGCTGCCTGTGGTGGCTATTTTTTCATGTTACTTCTACCTTCCTGCTCTGATGCGCTTGGGAAGACAATTTAAGGTGTACTGCTTTCTCACGAGCAAGCAGGGAGAAGCATGAATGTATTAACCATTTTCCTTTCGTGACTCCGTTCATACGAATTAAAATGGTAAAAATCTATATAAATAAACAAGGCCGCGGCAAGAGCGAACAAGGCATTCTTTCACAAAATGTACACAGATGGCACTGTTCATGATATGCAAAAATATTTTTCTCTTAAGTAAACTTTATGTAAAATGCCTTCTTGTAATGCATCATTTCATTGACTAAATATAAAAAGTCTCGTCTTTTGATAACCTGCACAAACCTACAGATTTGGGGGCTGGGGGGGGTTGCTTTTAAATTCTACACTGAAGTTAGGAAAATAAAGCAGGAAGGGTAAGGTAACAAAATCAATTTTAATTAACCGGTCTGAAACCCAGAGTATTGAAATAAAAAGGTTGACCAGAGATGCTTTAGTTAAAAACATCAGGTAACTAGAATGTTTTCCCCTAGAACGCTGTCCTGACTCACCTGTGTAACTGAATTTTCAACGTGACCACATGATACACGTCTTGAAGCATATCTGCTACCGTAGCATCAGGGGCATCTGTCACATAAGACAGTGGAACTGGATTCCACTTTCCAACCTGGATTAGCCCTATTCCAGATAAAGAGAATATGTCACTACAGGTTTTACCCTTCAGATAATGCATCTGGTAGGTTTTTTCTCTCTTTCATGGCCCCCACCACAAGCAATATTGTTATTTCTGTCTGAATGATTCCCTTCCCTCTAAAAGGCAGGTCAGTGAAAATATTCATAGCTCAGCTTTCCAAATTGTGAAATTATGTAAATGACTGTAGGGTTGTTTTATTATTTTGGAAATCAAACCCCATCAATAAAACCGATGCCCTGGCCACGTTTTCCTAACTTACAGGAAGTTCTAATAAGACATAGCTGAACCAGTTCTAAATGGCTTTACGATTCAGATAAGATTCTCTACTGCAAAGGGAATCAGCATTGAAAAATACTTTACAGCCCATAAAACCATCAGAAACAGAATAAAAGAAACAGAACTAGATATTCAGTCATAAATGCAAATTGACTCTCAACAGTCCATCTGCTCAAATACGCTCCTCACTTCCTTGTGGGTCCTCAGTGGAGCAGATTATTAAGGTCAATAAGCATACTAATGATTCAGCTGAAGTAATTTAAAAAAAAAAAATCTACCTCGACATTCCACATGAGCAAAATGTGTGTTAACTAAACCAAACTGAATTAAGCCAATTTTTTAAAGCCACAGTCTATAAGGAACCAGTGTCATCATACACAGCCTACAGTTCTTTGAATAAAAAAATATTCAGTGCTTTCCCTGGGAGGTAAACAAAGGATGCCAAGCAATTTCCCCGGCCCCGCACGTGCGTCATTTACCTTTGGCCTGGGCAGCAGAGCTGTGCGAGTAACCCAGAGACAGCAGTGCCATTTCTATCAGCTGGTTGAAAAGCATGTCCTTTCTCACCAACACAAATTCCGCATGCTCCTCCTTGCAATCGTATTCAATGGCGTTTTCATAATGTTCCACCACGCAAAACACCGGTAGCATGGTTCCTATCGAAGAGACAGGGAGGAAGAGATGCAAACCAACAATCTTCAGAAATACAGTCTGGGGGAGGGAAAAAAAAACACACGAAGCCATGAAAATAAATCTTCACAACAGTGAGAGAAGGGGAGAGACTGTTTCCCAGGCAGACAGGGCACAGAAACACACAGGCACGCACACACCAACATATACAACCTTTTCTGTTTCAGAGTTGAGAGAGAAATATGGAAACAGTATGTGAACCTGCTCCGAGGGTAAGTGGGGCTCTGCTGCCATGAAGATGAGTGAATGCAGAATTACCTTTCTGATCAAATGATACTGCTGACGAGAGAGAAGTAGGTGTCTTGTCTGATCTGTTGTGAGTGGTAATATGGACAGTGTGCAAACCTGACTCACTCCAGTTGTCTTCACAAGAACCAACTTCACGTGGCCTACAGGCTTTTGTTAATATTAAACTCTCCCTTGTTTGTGCCCAAACAAATTACCTTTGGCCATAAAATGATTAGCCTTTTACTTCCTTTTTAGAGATTTTACTTCATAATGCTTCCATAAAAGGAACGCAAAACTTCACCAAACTGATGCTCAAAATATATGATTTCAATATGTGCATAATGTAGGTAAATAAGATTTTCATTTTGATGGCTCCTCATTTAATCTACCTGACTAAGAAGATATCATAGTAACCATATGTCTTTAAAATGGACAGTCTTGTTGTAGTAAATGGGATGAAAAGGAGAGCGGGAAAAGGAAACTGGCCTCCTCAGGACATATTAGGATCAAGGAATCTGCGTAGATTCAACGTTCTCTCTCTATTCACTTTAATCCAACGTAATAACTCAGTAGCCAGATGATGAATCGGCACAGGCCGCAGCGGGGTTAGAAAAAAGGCTTCTGGAAACGGAAATCAGGGAATGCTGTAGCACTCAAGGTGTTCACGCAGCGAGCGCACTGTCAGACTCCCAGGGATAAGCAGAGAAGGGTTAAAAGCAGATGCATCTGAACTGCGCTGTGGCAAACTGCCAGGAGGGTATCATCTTTACCATAAATGATGGCAAGGGTTACTTTAACAGGGCACCCAGGATCCTCCATTAGTCCTGTAACATTAATGCCTCTTTAAGCTCTGCCCTCTGGACTCGCAGAATCCTACCAACTTCTGAAGATGTCCAGCGCATGCCAACCAGAGCTAAAAAATCGGGATTTTCTACTGACACCGGAGATGCCCTTTAAAAGTGCTCTATTCTGCAAACAAAAGCTGGCAGTAAAACAGCTACATTTTTCTACACATGCCTCTTCACCAAAGCCTCAGTGAACTGTTCACAAGAGATTCTAGCTCTGAAAAAGGAAAAAAAAAGAAAAAGAGCACCAAAACCTTTAGGTTGACTTAGAAAAGCTCACAAACTCATTCGGAGATATCCAACAGGCGAGGCATAAAAAAGCAAGCCGTGAAGCTTGCCAATATTCTTGTCATTCATTCGGCTGTTTTATACCAGAGAGAGAATCCGCCAGGGATCAGAAGATTTGGGGAGACCACAGCAAAAACAGCAATATACAAACTGGTGATTTCTTTCTTGGCTTGGAGGTACTTTGGCAAAATCTCCTCAACAAATAAACAAAAACATCCAACCCCTTTTTCTTAAGCCACATCTCAGCCACCATTTTTATCTAGCACCTGTCAAACAGAAACCAGACACAAAAAATAAAATTAAACACACACACACACACACACACACCACCACCACCACCACCACCACCAAAAGGCTTCAGTGATTTTTGTTGTTTGAAATAAGCACAGAACCTTCTTCAATTAAACAAAATAAGTCACTATCAAGGCAATGCTGTAAGGGGAAAAAAAAATCTTTTGAGCAGGAAGTGAAATTACTGTAGCTTGGTTTCTCCTCCCCCTGTCCTGATGTCTTCAAAGAGTTGGGTTAGTACAACAAAAACATATGCATTGATTTCTCCTCTCCAAGGAGGAGACTGACTTGTCCTAATACATGCTGTTTGTTCTCCTTAGACCTATGACATCACTGTGGGTTTTCCAAACGACTGAAATATATTGGATATATCTCTTCAGCTTTATTTAGCGGGACCCCGTAGGTAATGAAAGGTGGCTACTGATAAAGTGACAACAGTATCATTTAATTACAAGCCTAGCCGCTAAATCTTCCAGCAAACTGTCACGGTTGCCCTCCTGCTATTGGGAGTAATGCTGAACAGGAGCCTTCTCTGAACTGTCTGATTATTTGTGCGAGTGTTTGGCGAGACTTCCAACTACAGCAACTTCATAACCTTCCAGCATTAAAGGGGGAGTGCGCTGGCCACTGCCGACTGCTAAAAATACCGCATGATTTAAACCTGGAGGCAGTCTTAGAAGCTTTTGCTGAAGGTTTATGAGCCTGTGTAAACAGCACGTCTGCCATAAGGAGCAGTGAAGTCTGTAGAATCCTTGTCTAAAACTGTCCTGGCATTAGAAGTTTGCTGTGCAAATATCACATAATACCAGAGACAGCTGAAATCTCCTATTTAGGAATTTATGGAACTTATATGTTTGCAGGCGTCAGAAAGTCTTTTTTATAGAGCCCCAGTGCTTCACAGTACAATATTAATGCACTCTGTTTGAAAAGCCGTAATAAATTATATTTTTAATGCTCTTACCCTGGCTTTCTTAAGATGCATACATTCTTGGCAAACAATCAATAAATAGGGTAATCATGAGTAGAGGCCAAAGAATTTGCTGAAGTGCTGTTTTTCCATTTTTAATAGATAAAGATCTAACAATACGGTCTGCTGTGTCTGTTCATTTCAAGATCAATATATTCTTTGTTTTCGCCAAACCAAGGAAAAAATAAATGATTGTATGATAAATGTTATGCATCAAACACAATGAAATTCCTCTGCCTTCTAACTTTATCTACTTAATATTCTCGGTTGCTAAAAGATGGCATTTTTATCCTTTGCTTAGCAAATGTAAGGGAAATCTGAATCCTATACACATTTATTCAGAGACAAAATAAAGACCATTATGAGGCACACACATTGTAACCAGCACAGGCACTGCTTTACATAAACAAGTGTTGCACACAAAGTTGTCCAACTTCATCAACTTAACATGAAATGGGTAGAAAGGAGTCAGTTACACATCCTCCCCTTGTAAACGTGCCTAAATCTGCCCTTCCTTTTATCTAAAATACCCAGTTATAGCAAACATAAAAATTAGAATTATCAGGTTTTTTCCATTGCTAAATAATGCATTTGCTCTTAAGAAAACAAGCCACAAAAATGACATCACAAAACTTTTACATCATAGCACACAAGATTTCCATTACCTCTGAACCTGTCTTTTACAACTAGCGAATCTCATGGAAAAGCCAGTGTCTTATTCTTAAGCAGGGCAAGTACAAGCAATAGCCATGTATATATCCTCTACTTCCATTACACCTTATCCATGGAAGCCTTGGGTAGCTAAAGACCATTATATTGAATTCAGTCCTTATCCACCTAATTGTCCAACAATTCCAGTCTGCAGTAGCAGAGTAAGATGCTCCACTCAAACACAGAGCCTCAACTTTCAAAACGTGACTGACACTGCAGCCAGGGATGTAACTAATTTCAGAGCAGAAAGAGAATCGAGGCAAAGAACCTGCAAAGAGTGCTCTGCCTCTCCACACCCACACAGAGTAGCCTTGGGTAGGCACAGGGCTCACAGCTTTCCAGGATTTGGCGTGAAAGTATTTACCTTTCCTAAGGTTGGTTTTCATCAGATGACCCGAGTGTTTTAAAGGCACTCCCTGCATTTTTCCACCTGTACTCCCAAGCCTTCCTCTTCCCAGTGGGCTCCCGTTCTGCTCCAGGCGGGCAATCTTGGCTGGTGGACCCTTCGTATCGCTCACATTGTTAGACATTTCTGAATGTTCTTTCCCCTGAGTTGCCTCGTTCAAATGATCCATACTCAGTTACTCTCTAAAGATCACCTGCCAGAATTTAAAAAGAAGATGCGGTTAGAATTGGGTGGGTGGGGGGTGTTTCTCTCTCTCTCTCTCTCTCTCTCTCTCTCTCTCTCTCTCTCTCTCTCTCTCTCTCTCTCTCTCTCTCTCTCTCTCTCTCTCTCTCTCTCTCTCTATTTACATACATACATCATGTAAATGTTTTACCCCTAGATATCTCTCTTCACAAATATAATTTGTAAGATTACTCAGCTAGATATATAACATAATGTATATGTTACTATATTTCTAGATGACAGCATATGTCCATTCAAGTTAACAGAATAATTTGTGAAAACTGTATTAACACACATGAATAAAAGGTAATTTGTGACCTACCACCAAAACTAAGTAGGGGGAAATGGGCTTTATTTCTAAAACAAGAATCACCACAATAGAGCCAAAAAGAAAAATAAATTGTATTTATAAAGTCCCAATTTTTAAAAATTAGAAACTCATTACAAAACAAAACAGTAACACTTTAAACAAGAATGGAAAAATAATTACAGTCCAATATATTAGTTAAATCTGTTGTATATATATTTTTACATATAGCTTAATTTTTGAGGAAAAAAAAACTATACATGTATATACATACCACCTCAAAAGAAGGTAGCAAACATCTAATTTTTACACTCCCCATTGGCTTTGCAGGTAAATTTGTAGAAAAAGTTTTCTACTATGAAAGTTTCAAGAGTGACCTGTTAAATATCTAGTTAAGTCTTGGCTGAAATGTGTGATTGGATCATCTCAACCCTAAGAAAATGGATGTTAGGTGGAGGATTTCTTCAAATATTCCAAGTACTGACGCATTACAACTCACGTGTTTAGAGTTAACATTTAGGAGTACTTTAGTAATAGAATGCTCTTAAGGAGCAAAAAACGTGAAAATACTTTTTGATATTAGCATTAGATCCAAGTGCCAAACTGGCTTTTAAAAAAAAATAAATCTTGATTTAGGTAAAACACAATTGCCAGTTTTCAAAAATAATCTCAGTATTCATTGAAGTTAACCTCTTGGTTGACTTCAAAAAAATTTATAGATAATTATTTTCAATTACACAATGGACATTAATTTTCATATGGTTTATGATAAAACAATGAGTACAATATCCAAGTCACTTCTAAAATAGTTGTAACTAGAATTGATAAGAACAGGTGAGTGGAATTATGAACTTTCACAGTACTTGAAATACTGAGCTTACCAATACTAAGGGGGGAAAGGGATCATATTTCAAAAATCAGAATATGATAATTATTACTTTCCTCCAGCTGTCTAGTAATTTAACATCTCTTGTACTTTTAAAAAATTATTACACCGGAAAAGCTATTTAGATCCGATTAATTGAAAGCCAGCTTATATTAGCATGGCTTTTCTAGAGGCATGTTTTTCTTCTGTTTAACCATAGATTACTCTGTCCAATTTAATCAAGAAAAGAGGTGAATGGGGAGGAGGGAGCAATGGTAATTTGTAGGCTTAAAAGCAACCTTAAGAATGCCAATTGAAGAACTCTAAAGTTTGAGAAATAATGGCTATTTATCCTTGTACTCCAGGGTGGCACGCTGAGAACTAAAGGTTTACCATTGATCGAGGTCCCATCTGTTTTTGGTTATGAGGTTCATTAACAATAAATGTGCCTCTTTTAACCACTTTTTATCAAGATTACTCTTCTCCATTATATTAAACTAAAGCCAAAATTAGAGAGCAATAGTTATTAACTTATTCAAAACACTCTTTGTAATGTTACATGTGGATTATAATACAGAGCTGCTTTTTTTTTTTGAAAGTAGTTGCCTTACCCTAGAGCAGAAAATGAATTTTAAAACATATGATTTGAAAATACTTCACCCGGGGGGGCAATTTTAAGAAAAAAGGGAACATCAGCATCAGAATGAATGCTAAAAAAAAACATATTCAGCAGTCTGGAGGCTTAGCAGCATTATAAAGTATATAGCAAGTGAAACTGATAGATGCTAATTTAGTTAATGTATTGATAATCAAAACATCATATAGGTCATGCGCAATTGTCCTCCCAACACCCACCCATAAGCGTCAATTAAACACTCAGTCATCTTGTAAAAAGCTTTACATTATAAAGCAAAATTACATGCACATAAAACACCCAATTTACTCATTTAAACTCTATGCCCAAGGCTAAAGTTCACCAAGCCTCCGTTTGGGATTGCACAGAGCAGCCCCACTGGGCCTGCTGGACTGGCTGCCCAGGAACTCACTCGGGTCTCAACACACGCCAGGCACAAGAGTCTCTTGTGAGCTCCACATTTTAAAGTCCATTGTCGCGTAGCGTTTGGTTGGCACCCAGAACGCAGGCTACTTTCTCAAAACCCCATTTCCCAGTCCATCAACTAAGGCCGTATGGGATCGCTACTGACGAACACAGGGAACTCAGACCCAGCAATTATTTCCCTTTACACGAAAAAAGAAAAGCACGAAATTCCGGTTTCAAGAGCCTTTTTGGGTTTTTCTGACTTCTTGTTTTTTTGCCATGTGGGATCCTTTCAGGGAGTTCCTTGCTAAATGGCCTCCCTCGCCCCCACCGAACCCCGTCATCACATTTTAAGAGATTATGCCCTTATCCATTCCACATGGCCGGCACGATCCAGGCCAAGCTTTCACTGTGACCTTTTAAAGAGACAAAGAAGCAAAGTACTATCGAGAAACAGAAACACTGCAGTTTTACGGAGTGAAATTAGCAAAACCGACCTGAAACTCACCACTTCAAAACTTGACAGCATATAAATAACAAAAACAAAGGAGATTTCCTTTGCAGCCCGGGTTCTTGAAGAGAAGTTCAAGACTGATGTTTTCTGTCCTTTTTTTTTTTTTTTTTTTGTAATTAAAAAAAAAAAAAAAAAAAGCAGCAGACCTGAAGGCGACTTCCCCTGAAATTGTATTATTTTCTCTTCCCCTACCCCCGCCCCCCTAAACGGGGGAAGGGCAGAAATAAAGGCCTAGAAGATTAGCCATGAGGAGTGGAGGGGGAGAGTGGTATAAAAAAAAAAAAATCACAATTCGAAAAACAACATATATGGTTTGTAAAATGTCTAACCTCAGAGAACGGGGTTTTCGAAGGGGGAGGAGGAGGGGAGAGTGGGAAGTAGGGAGGAGGGCGAAGATAAAATTGATCTGACAAGTGATTCGTTGGGGGGAAGAATCGTAAAAACAAAGCAAACCCTGCGCACTGTGGTGGAGCTGGGGAGGCGAGGTTGGCGGCTGGGGATTCTTTTAAAAAGAGGAGGAAAAATTCATTGCGGACAAGGTCTCCGGGAAGGGGAAGGAGGTCCCCCCGAGGTGCCCCCTCCCTCGGCTCGCGCAGGGTTCGCGGTGCGAGGCCACAAAGTCCACTCGGGCTGTCACTTGCAACCCCGCTCCCCACTGACCCGGGAGAACGCGGCGAGGGGGAGGCCACCGCGCCTCCCTTCCCCTCGCCCCCGCCGCCCTCCCCAGCAATTGCGACTGATAGGAACAAACCTTAAACTTTCTTCCCACCGCCTCGCACCCTCACCGGGGGCATCTACCGGGGGACAGCGAGGGTGGGGGGCAGGAGGTCGCGAAAAAAGCCCGGAAAGGCACTAAAACGCCACTTTTGATTCGGCCCTCGCTGACGACAGCCCCGAGGACCCTCTCCCTGCCCATGGACGCGGGGCTGCGAGCGTCTGGGGAGCCGAGTGAGTGCGGGGGGGGGGGGGGGGGCGGGGAAGAGAGAGAGAGAGAGAGAGAGAGAGAGAGAGAGAGAGAGAGAGAGAGAGAGAGAGAAAGAGATAGGGTTTGGGGGGCAGGAGAGAGGGGAAGGAATTAGAAGGCACCCCCAGCCACCTCCACCGCCTCAGCAGCGACACACTCCCCGCCCCCTCCTCCCCCCCAAAAAAGTCGCCACGCTCTCACTCGGCCAGAGTCCGAGGTAAACAAGGAGCACCACAATGGCACTGGGACTTGGGGGGCGGGGGGGGGGGGAGAAACGCAGGAACCCCAACAAAACTGAGGAGGAGTTTCCCAAAATGCGAGAGGGGGGTGGGAAGCGTCCTCGGGAGTCGCCCCGGCTCTCGGCTCGGTCCCCGGGCGGGCTAGAGGGCGGCCGTGGCTGCTGTTGTGGTGGCGAGGCCGGTGGTTGCTGGGTGGCACAGGGAGAGGTGTGTGCGCGTCTGTGTGCGTGTGAGCGCCAGTCCCCGGACGGGGCTGTTTCTCCCTCTCCTCTCTCTCTCTCTCTCTCTGCCCCCCCTCGCTCGCTCGCTCTCGCTCTCCCCCTCGCTGCCGTCTCTGCCCCCATTAAATTATTAGTTGACTCATCCCGGCCGCTGTCGCCGCCGCCGCCGTGCCCAGCTCGGCTCCGCGCGTCCGCCCGGGCTGCAGCCCTCCACGCCGCTGCTCCTGCTGCTGCGCCTGCCGCCGCCGCCGCCGCTGTGGCTGCCTCTTCTTCCTCCTCCTCATTTTAATACAAAATCACCCCGCTCGCAGCCCCAGCCCCGAGCACGCAGCCTCCTCCCGGCCGCCCGCCGCCGCCCCGAGCCCTTCCCCAGCGGGGCCGGCTCAGCCGCCGCGTCCGGGGAGCGGGAGCGAGCGAGAAAGTGGCGGCGGCGGCGGCGGCGGAGGAGGAGGAGGAGCGGGGAGGGAGAGGAGGAGGAAGGGGGTGCGGAGCGGAGGAGGAAGGCGGCGGGGGGGGGGGGGGGGGTAGGGTGCAAGGAAAGGCGGAAAAGGGATGGGGATTAAAACCCGGGCTGGAGGGCCGGGATCGGGGGGAGGGGGCGGGGGCGGCGAGTTAAAAAGCAGAAAGACAAGTAACTAGTGAATGAGTGAGGGAAGGGGCGGGGGGAGCGCACGATTTCCGGCCCCGGGCGCGCAAGAATTTGTAATGAGCTTGATTAGAGTGAGGCGGCCCGACATTTATTACACACAATACCCAGAATAACAGGGCGCCGCGCGAGGGCCAGCGCCGGCCGCCGCCAGGCGCGCCAGGGCGGGCGCAGCGGGAGGAGGCGGGGGGCTTCCCTGGCAGCGGCCGCCGGCGGGGAGGGGAGGGGAGGGGAGCGCGCGCCGCGCGGGCGGCAGGGGCAGGTGTGCGCGAGGGAGCCGAGGGAGGAGGGGCAGCGCCGGCGGGGCGGGGGGGGGGGGGGAAAGTGATGGGGAGGAGGGGGCGAGGGCCAGGGGAAAGCTCACCACCCGCCCACGCGCCACCAAAGCCACAAAAAGGAGTCGGTCCCGAGCGCCGCGGGCGGGCACCCCAGGCACAGGCGAGGCGGGGAGGGGAGGGCGCACCGGCCCCGCGGGAGAGGGGCCCGGACCCGCAGGTGACAGGCGTAGGTTACTGAGATGGGGGCCTGAGGAAGGGACTGGAGGGGACCCTCCGGAGGGAGAGCTCTCCCGAGAAGCGCGGCGGGTGCAGCCACATTCGCAGAGGAATAAAGGCCAAGATCCTTAAAACGGTCTCGCGAATATTGACCCTCAAAGAGGACGAGTCCTAAAGTATTGCGCCAACGTTAAAGCCACAAGGGTAAGAGCTTTCTACACAAGTCAGAGGTAGGTTCAAAACTCCCTCGCTTCTGAGCCAGAAATCACGTTGGAGGGAGAAATACGTGGCCTGTAGTGGCCGCGTTCAACAAAATTTGGGTCACTTAATAAAAGAGACCTGACTTGTTATTAAAAAGGGAAAGATGCCACCATCCTTAAACTAATTTCACACCAGCGAAAGACAAGCAAGTTTGGGTGGGTAAATACATCTGTTGTGGCAATAAATACTTCTGCAATCTGGGTAAGTTACCCAGTTAAATAAATGGTCATTAGCTCATACGTAAGATCCTCTTATTGAGATAATCTATTAAATGCAATTCCTATTAAAAAATGAAGAACATTACAATCTCACCCAAATAGAGATGCAGTGTTTATCGCTTAGGTTTGAACACGAACATCTCAGTCCCTGAAGGCAGTTAATCATTAAAAACAAAAATGTAAGAATTATTTTTTCAGTATATACTAGTAAGGAAGAGAGAAAAAAATCAGATAAACATTTTGTTACTCATAAAAAAGCAACAAGTTAACACAAGTACTGAGATAAGAGGAAAATATGCAAATTAAGCTCTTTAAAGCTACCAATACACACTTAGAGGCACTGTTTACATTAGAAATCTAAGAAAAGCAGAAGGTAAAGTAGAAGATAAAGTATAAGAAATAATGGCCTCCTGGGGAGGACAAGTTTAGGAGAGACACAATGAAAATATATCACTCTAATGGCCCCCAAGTTTCACCCACAAACCGGAAAGGTTAGTCAAAATCAAGGAAGGCAAACATGAATCTTGGCACATATAAACCCAAGCCTTGAGCAAAAGAAAGAACATGTGATAATAAATGACAGCATCACAAAACAAAAAAAAAAATGAGATCACATTTTTAAAAGTTGAAATGTGGGGAAATATGGAGAATATTTTAATTGAAGTATAAGAAATATAACAAATAAGGAAATATTTAAAAGAAAAGCAGATAGCAATGAATTATTTCAATAATGATTTTTGCAACATGATAGGTTAAGTTAGGAATTTCCAAGATGAATGTGTGACTAGTTGCTTCAAACTGGTGATGCCTGACATGCTTTCCTGCCTGGTTTTCAGTAGGGACAGTGCATTCTAGTGTCACACTGACAAATTTACAAAAATAGCAACATAAAAAAAAAACTAAGAAAAATTCTAGACTACAAAAAAAATTATCCACGCAACTTCACCTGAAGTTGAGTGTTTTTAAAAGAAGAAAAATAGTTTTTGAGCAAAAACAAAATTTGAGCAAAGAGAAGACCAAAAAATGGCTACTGAAAATATCAATATTAAGACACATTGGAATAAAATATTGTAAATAAGTTTATCCCATCATTTACACAGTAAATAAGACAGAAACTGCTTCCTGATTGCCTTAGGCTCCTAATGACTTGGCCAATGCTAATGAAATGTGGGAATTAAAACAGTAATCTTTAAATTTGAATAGCATCTTTTATTTGGGAATTACAAACTAATTCTCAAACACAAAACAAAAGTGTGTAATAAGGATGAACATGGACTTGAAAAATGATAAACAGAATAAATGAGCATAAAATATCTAATAATGACTTTATTATAAAGAATAATGATGTAGCACAATTATGAATCTATTATTCACAAATACATACTCATTTCCCCTCAAGCCCATCCTTTATATTAGAACTGTATGATTGTAAGAAATGACATAAGTGATACACAAAGGTTTATGCCCTCCAAGTCAAATTGGACAATGATAAACTTAATTACTATAAATTATCTTCCCCTTAGAATACTCATTATAGCCACTGAGCACTGGTCAGTGTAAATCCAGGTTAAAATAAAGGAAGAAAAAAAGAAAGATAGTTAGAAAAATGACACTACTCAGGACATGTATGAGGATAAATTACCTAGGGGGAAAACATTTGATTCTACACAGGCATCTTATATCTGGAGATAAAGATGCAAGCAAGTATTGGAAGAAGTTAAAACAAAGTAAACTTTATAAATCTAGATATCAAAACAGTCAACCTCAGGAACATGAAATAGTACAAGCGCAATATATGAACTATTTCATGTGTGATGTACAGGTAAAACAGCACATCAATTTTTTATCCCATAAAGAAGGCATTCAGACTGGCTACAAAAAGAGTAGCAAAGATAAAATATTGTAACAGATATACAAGATTCTTTTAACTTAATAATGAAAGGACCACTGCATGTTTTCAGATGGCACCGTATTAAGATAAATATGCAGGCAGATATCCGAAAGCATTAAAACACATTCAGAGTTCTGAATAGCACATACATTTGTAATAAACAGAGAAAGCATTTAGAATTTGAACGCTTTTAAGATATGGCAACTCCGCCAGTGACTGTGTTAGCAAAGCAATGCTTACCGCCATAGCACTTTCTAAGGACATTTTTCCCCCATCTTTTTAAATTCAAATACAGTTGGCTATCTCCCTACATTTTTAAAGCAGCGCCATTTACGTAGCATATTGCTCTTTTTGTCGTGTCAACTCTTTGTTTTTTGGCTTTAGCTGCAGGTGGTGTTTTCCATCTATGAATTTCTGGGAATATGGTCTGTGTTGGCCATATAAGGATGTATATTTGAGCCATATGTTTTGCTGTCATGTGTCTCATTTTGTCTGTCTGGGATGTCAGGACTGATTTCCACACCATTGCTTGAATAGACCAAATACAAATTTGTAAGAGCAGAGAGGAAAAAGCAGGGGCTGGAGCCCAAACAGCACTGTCAAAACATATATTAGAGAGGAAATGCAATATCCTGTAAACATTTGCACCCTTCTTCTCACATCTTATCTGTGACTGACATCATCACAACTGCATAGTTTAAGACAGACTCTGCTTGCTCAAGTTCAGAAGTTTGCAGTGTGGCTATGCACGCAGCTTAATCAGACAGACCCCACATCTTTGAAGGTCATGGCAAGGCACA